CACTAGAGTATGGCCCCATCACAAACAAACCAAGGGTGTTATCACAAACGCCACTGACATATGATTAAAGCAATAAAATTCCTATGATGTCAACATAAAAATAAATACAACATACCGCAAAGTGGAAATCACAGACTCCACCCCTTTTGGTAACTAGCCACCCCATAGGCAGTGGTGAGCCATATTACGTCGACCTCGAACCAAGGTTTTACTTGGGACATGAAAGTGGTATCGACCCTTGGTTGAACATTATCCCAAGGATATCCAATAAAACTTCTAGCATAACCTAGAAAAAACAAGTTAGTTCCTAGAGAAATGAACTTAGGACTTAAATTAATGTCATATAAACATTTGAATATAATGGTAGTAACCAAACTAAAATACAAACGGGTGCAAAACAGGGACCATAAAAATTGCTCATTCATTAAGGTACAAGAACACCAAGTACAGCACGCAGGTAAAAACACCCCGAATATATATATATATATTATATATATAATATATATATATATATATATATATATATATATATATATATATATATATATATATATATATATATATATAGAGAGAGAGAGAGAGAGAGAGAGAGAGAGAGAGAGAGAGAGAGAGAGAGAGAGAGAGAGGAGAGAGAGAGAGAGAGAGAGAGAGAGAGAGAGAGAGAGAGAGAGAGAGAGAGAGAGAGAGAGAGAGAGAGAGAGAGAGAGAGAGAGAGAGAGAGAGAGAGAGAGAGAGAGAGAGAGAGAGAGAGAGAGAAGTTGACTAATCCATGAAGGAATTTGTTTTCATGTCTTCCATCTCCTGATCAAGACAAACTCGCTCTCGTGAAACAAGAATCATAAAATAACAATATTCCACATGATGCATAATATTTTCAAAGAAATCACAGGCAATAAGTCAACTCTCTTCTAATGACTTCGCGTACTCCTTGGATAAATTAAGGTTTTTAAAACGCATCTCATAGAGGTCATCATGAGTATTCTCCAAGGCATTTATAAGACTCATTTAGAGATACGTCAAACTCTTTTATCCTCCTCCGGGAAGGATCCACTTCCTGATTCACATCAACAATAGAGGCCTCTAATGTAACTAGAGATGCTTGGGTTGAAGACAAGGCTTCATTCTTCTTTGTCATATCCTACACGAGTAGCTTCACCTTCTCAACCATCATACCCATATACTCGAAAGGGTCCATAACAACCTCTATGCCGAAAGCAAGGTAGATGCCCCTTGAAACTCTTTTGGATGTTGGTCGCACTCAACAATAAGGGCATTAACCCATTCTCGGAGCAGTTCCTTCTCCCTTTGAAGATGATCGAGTAGGAAGACTTCTCCTTAACTAGAGGCAAGAATGGTCAATGCCTACATGTGTAATAAGCCAAGTTCGATAACTTCTCCTTGTGAGCTTCTTCAATTTTATTTGAAAAATAAGAGTAATCTTCTTTAAAGATGCAATACCAGAACTCACTAAAAGTTCTTAGACCAGGGAGGGCCAATAGTGCATGGGGTAACTCAGTTGAAATCGACACAAATTTTTTCATGGATCTCGGCCTCCTTACATCTAATGCTAGGAGTCATGGATTATTAGCAAACACATTTACACTCGAAGCTCGTTAAGTTCTGGACTAAGTTCCAGGTCTCTTTCCATCGTCAGACAATGATGAAACAAAAGCATCTTCAACCATGACCCAGTTAGATGAATCCCAAACTTCCCATTGTACTAGAGTATGTGTGTTTCTAATAAACCAAAATATTAAAGGTGAGATTTGCCAAAAACCCTTCTAGTGGCCGGAATATTGGTAACACACACCTAAATAGGGGTAACCTAGGAAGTCCTCCTCATTTGCTGCATTGTTTTCTCACATTGCATCTTATTTACATAAAAGATCCCCTAGTTTTCTCAACAAAATGTCCTTCATGGCCTCTTTTGAGCCGAATTACACCAATTAATGTGTCTCTAAGAGGTGCTTCAATTATTTCTCTGACATTGTGTCAGGAGGGGTAACATGCCGATGTAATCTAGAGCCTCATAGAAGGACACATACAACCTTTTTAGGAAGATATATTCTTGAGTCAAATCATCCATCCTATAAACATAGGACCCTAATTATGCCAAGAAGTGGCTTTGTCACTATAACTTTGAGAATATTTCCGACCATTGGTAAGGTGGCCCATGCTTAATTAAGCATATTGCAACATGATCTTTTTCATGGAGAATGGTAACCAGGATTCTGATAATTGAAATACTTCACACTCTTAGAATAAATATCAAACATCTTAACACATTGCTAGAGAGATATCAAGTCATGACCCTTTGATGAAGCAGTCGAACTACACTAAGCTTTGAAAAGGTGGAAGAAGAGCGTTTGAGTTCACACACTTCCCTTGTATTCACCAGTATCAGAAGACTTTAACATAATACCAACTCACCAAATGCAATTGCAAACAAATGATCAAAAAGTGATTAAAAACACCAACCTCAAATGTATTAAAAGGGGGACAAAAGCCTACTAAATAATAATAAACACTCATCAAGAGGGATGTCACACCCATCATACTTGCTACACAACATATTATCTTTCTCAAGAATAAGTACTTCTTAATCTCATGGGGGAACTTAATCGATGAAAGATCGATCCAAAATCCTTTTCATGTCGAAGGTAGAGGCAATGTCCAACGTTTCATGATTCACCCATATTGAAGAATTATCCTCATTTTCCTTGCGAAGCATAGTAAGTGGAATTTCCATTTTGAAGAATATTGTTAACACAAAAAAGAAAAATATGAATAAACATTTCTATAATCAAATATATGAAAGACAAGTTTTAATATATGAGAAATCAGAAACCTATTCTCCAAAAACCCTAACAGATAAGAAATGAAAAACAAAAAGAAAGATGTAAACTTTACATTGAAAGAACAATGTCGGTGGCCTATGTGCCTAAAATTTCACCAAACATGATAATATAGATGAGCCTAATATAAAAATTAATGAAGAATGTCCCACAAGAAAGAGTGAGGTTGACAATACAAAGAATAAAGGTTTTTACAGTTTGCAAATGGCAAAAAAAATGAAAAATGATGTTTTCAAGAACTCTTTTATGTGTGTCTTAACCATGGGGAACTATATGATCCATTATGTTAGAAAGTGCGAGACACACTACCAACAATCAAAATTTCATTGAATATTATTCAAATCACTCAAGTACCTAGAGAAAGAGGACGTATCATTGTTTAATAGCATATGCACACCAAAGATTTTTTTTGCAAAAAGTTACCTATTACAAGAAAGACATTTAATGTGCATATTTCCAATAATAATGACGTCCCACGAAAACTCCTCATCTCCTCAGGTCGGTAACCGACCTAGAGCATATACGGTAAACATCATCCTACAAAGTAGGGGGCAATAGTTTGAAGGACAACTGTTCTGGGTCATTCATAAGGCCTAAGATGAAACACCCAAAGACAAAGCAAACACGAGGAACATTCGTTCCCCCCATTTTCACCTAGGGAAGGCAACTCCGCCTCTTGAGGCATCATCCACTGTCTATATCATTATCAATTAGATGATTATTTGCACTGTATATTGCACTCCTTGTAGACAATTTTAACCACTCTTAATATATAAGAAAGAAAGCACGCCATTCACAAGCATTCAAATCCCCTTTACTCGTACATTACTCGTTATTCTCTCACTGACTTGGGCGTTGAAGTGTTAACTTTATAAGATGTCCCCTCTCCACCGCAATAGAAGCTCAAGTCCACCACAATGAATCAATGTCTCATTGTTTCACAGATCATTTATAGTTTATAACCAAACAACAATTATTAAAGTATTCGAGTTAAAATGAAAGCATACACCAAAAATTTCTTCAAATAAATTTGATTAGACATAAGCTTAGTTAAATCAAGTGCAATATAGATGAATTTTCTAAAGAAAATCTGGGAGTCTCAACATGTGATGACCTATTCAGAGATTATTTAAACTATTTTCTCTAACTTTTTTTCGACAAGGTATGAATAACCATTTCTTTTTAAGCAGAACTGCATGACATTTTGTTAGTCCATCATGCAAACAAAAGGAGACAAAACTACCTATGAATATATAGTAATTCATCATTGCAAATCAAACATTCAACAATGTTCATAGGAAGTTATTGACTAACTCGAAAAATAACACGCACGTTATTCGTTCATATAGGTTACAAATTTCTTAGCAAAGAATATTTATACGAAAAATTAAGGATCTTTTCTTAATCATGACACATATTAAACTAATTTAACATAATCTTATGAGATAATTATTTTAAAAATCATTTTAACTTGTTTTTGAATTAAGTACATGATCTATTTATTCATAATTGTTTTTTTAAATAATTTTTATAAGAGAAAAGAAATGAACCTCTAACATTATTAAATATTTTTATATTGTCAATCAATCATCATCATATATCCATTTAAATTACTCTTTTATTTAAATCTTTTTTTAATAACAAAATAGATTAATGACTTCTATTAAATACAGTGTAAAATATTTTATAATAGTTTACACTTCAGCGCATATCTATTAAACTTTTTTTATAATAGTTTTATAGATTTAATTAAAATATATTAATAGTGTAAATAAATTTTACATAATCAATTAATCATAACCATCAAATTATTTAAAATATTTGATTTTAATTTTAATTTATTTTAAAATAATAAAATTGAGTAGTGATAATATATTAAAAATTACAAATTTTTACGCAATACATAACAATTAAACTCTATTTTTATTTTTATTTTTAAAAAGATACTTCTGATTTCGTCATCTTCTTTTACACTTAAATAAGAAAAGTAATAATAAATAAATAAAATAAATGAAAAAACTCCCATATATTCTATTGGCTGCGAAAACTTGGAAAATTGTGGGGTAGGAGAACTATCGTATCATCTTTTCGTTCTCACTTCTCATTTCCTCTGTTCTCTTCTCTGCCTCTACTTATCTATCAAGAATGGAATTAGCCTCCAAGCTTCACCACCTCGACCTCACCGGAGCATTCATTCTCGATTCCCGACGCTTACCACGCACCCTAACTCACACTCATCTCACCACCAACACTAATTTAGTTTACCCCAATCGATTCTTCCCCTCCAAAAAACCTAATTCCACTTCACGTTTATCCGCCGTAGCCGCCGTCGACGACACTCCAGTAGCCGAAGACGACATCGAGTCTCTATTCTCATCCAAACCTTCAGTTAATGAAAGACGCGGAAACAAGCAATCTAGTAGCGGCGCTTCAACCGTTTCATCCGGTGTGAGACTAGAAAACATCAGGAAAACGTATAAGGGTGTTACGCTTTTGAAGGAAGTTAACTGGGATGTGAAAAAGGGAGAGAAAGTTGGTTTGGTTGGTGTTAATGGTGCGGGGAAGACGACGCAGATGAGGATTATTGCTGGTCTTGAGGAACCGGATTCCGGGAATGTGATGAAGGCGAAACCGAATATGAAAATTGCGTTTTTGAGTCAGGAGTTTGAGGTGTCGCAGAGTAGGACTGTCAGGGAGGAGTTTATGAGTGCTTTTAAAGAGGAAATGGAGGTTGCTACGAAGCTGGAGAAAGTGCAGAAGGCGCTTGAGGGTTCTGGTAATGATTTGGAGTTGATGGGGAGGCTTTTGGATGAGTTTGATTTGCTTCAGAGACAAGCGCAGTCTGTGAATTTGGATGTTGTTGATTCCAAGATAAGTAAATTGATGCCTGACCTTGGTTTTGCTGTAGAGGATTCTGATCGGTTGGTTGCTTCTTTTAGTGGTGGATGGCAAATGAGGATGTGTCTAGGAAAGATTTTACTTCAGGTATATTATACTCATACTAATTTGAGAAAATTGAAATAATTGAATGTAGTTACATATATGTAGGATATTGTGAATTGCGTTGTTGTTTAGAGATGGTGATTCTAGGGTGTTCCCTTATAGATGACCTTTGGATTTTACTAAAAACAAAATGGTTATGGTTAGCCCATTAGGAAGATAATCTTTACTACTCATTTATTTTTAAATAATAAACCTATAAAAGGTACTCCTTAGGCTCTCATCTTTTGTTAACCATATGCTCTAATGCTCATATAACCAATTTTACTTTGCAATGTGCATATTGATAAATCTTTGATGTTGATCATGTGCATTTGAATGTGAAATGTGTTTCTGAAAAGAATGACAGTTTGGTTTCATGTACAGGAACCAGATTTGTTATTGTTAGATGAGCCTACAAATCACCTTGATCTTGACACCATTGAGTGGCTTGAAGAATATCTTAACATGCAGGATGTGCCAATGGTTATCATTTCCCATGACAGGGCTTTTCTCGATCAACTATGTACAAAAATTGTGGAAACTGACATGGGTGTGTCCAGGACATTTGAGGGAAATTATTCTCAGTATATACTTTCAAAGGCAACTTGGATCGAAACACAGTATGCTGCATGGGAGAAGCAGCAGAAAGAAATTGAACAGACAAGAGAGTTGATAAGTAGGTTAGGTGCCGGAGCAAGTTCTGGCCGTGCTTCTTCCGCCGAGAAGGTATATGTGATCAACTATTTAATTTAGATATAACATTGCTTGTACACATTTTTCCAAAAAGTACATTGCTTGTACAAAATTTTCAAAAAGTACATTGCTTGTACAAAAGGTTAACAAGTAAAAAGTACTCATTAAATTGGTCAAGAACAAATTCTCAAAATCACGAGGGTCAAGATTCATGAATTCATTTATCTAGTGCTATGACACCTATATAGCGATGCTTCAAAGACAGAATAGAATCGGTGTACCAGATATATCAATTCACGGCCAATACGTATCTAAAGAGTATCCTATTAACTTACTTATTTATCATTTAAAAAATTCTCAATACTTACACCGCACAACACATCAAAGTGAAGCTTCCCTTTACCAGCCAGTGTTTGTTATTGTGCACATTGCTGGGTCCAGTTTTGATCTGGTTGACACATCTGTGTTCTGAGTTGCTGTGGTATTTAGTGCATCTGCTTCAAGCATTTTCTTCGTTCCTGTATTCTTATTTTGCTTCCCAAGCTTCTTTATAGCGCTACTCTTATGTCTATCTGCAAAGCTGCTCTGGGTGCCGAGTTGTGTAGTTGTGGCTCATTTTTTGCTTTGTTTATGGTGTTGTTCTCGCTTGATTCTTGTTGCTGTATAAGGTTCACCTGTTTCATTGCTCTGATTTGCAAATTTTCTGAATTCTTATGTTCTTATTTCACCGCCCTAAGCTCATCTTTTGTCCCACTCTTTAAAACATCTCTACAAATATTGTGCATTTTTGGTATATATGTTTTATATTTATAACTTTCTCTTGATGTTTTAAGGCTGTGCCACACCTTGGTTTTGTAAAAATGTCTTGTACCCTCATATCCGTATTGTCTCATACCCCTATGGCATGAAGTATCGAGGTTTCTTGCTCTATCATAGATAAGCTTATTGAACTTCAAGAGTAGACAATGCACAACCTCCCATTCTTGGTGTGGAAATTCACGTTTTTTTAGCTAAAAGATATGAGTAGCATGGGTTGAACTATCAGTATTAGCCACTTTGTTATGGAAGATTTGTTACCCGGTCAAGTCCCTAATCTTTTAAAAGCTTTGGATGAAAGTTCATGAACGATTTTATGTGTCACAAGGTTTAGACGACGACAAATAATAATCTGTTCTTTATTATAAGCAAAATTTACTTTTTATGTTCATTGAATAACTGGTGTACGGGTCTATACATAGTTTAGATACACCAGTTATTCAATGAATCTAAAAAGTCAATTTTTTGCTTATAATAAGGAATGGAGGGTTAAATGAAAATACGGTAGCTGTGCTAACTACTGAAATAGTTGCAAATTGCAATGCATCCTTCCACATTGTAAATAAAAACATTTTGTTGTTATGTTATTTGCTTAAAAGAATTTCTTTTTGTATGTGTGATAACAGAAATTGGAAAGACTTCTGGGAGAGGAACTAGTACAGAAGCCATTTGAACGGAAACAAATGAAAATCAGGTTCCCTGTTCGTGGAAACAGTGGAAGATCTGTTGTAACAGTTAGGAACTTGGGTTTTGGCTTTGAGGATAAAGTAAGTTAGCATGGTATTTTTATATAAAAGTAGTGTTAAAATGTGTGGTTGAATGTTAAAGACATCATCTGATCAAGTTTTTATGTGACAGATACTTTTCAACAAGGCAAATCTTACAATCGAAAGGGGAGAAAAAATTGCTATTCTTGGTCCAAATGGATGTGGCAAGAGTACTTTACTAAAATTGATTATGGGTTTAGAGAAGCCAATCAGCGGTGAAGTTATACTTGGGGAGCATAATGTATTGCCCAACTATTTTGAGCAAAATCAGGTTCGTCACTTCAACTGAGGAAATGCTGACTGGTGCAATCGGTTCCAATTCTTCCATTCAAAACTTTTATGTGGCCTGTACATTTTTAGTGCTGACTTGATTTAGTTTACAGGCTGAGGCACTTGATCTGGAAAAGACAGTGCTTGAGACAGTAGAGGAAGCTGCAGAGGACTGGAGGAGTGATGATATTAAAGGACTTCTTGGGCGTTGTAATTTTAAATCTGATATGCTTGACCGTAAAGTTTCTCTATTGAGTGGTGGCGAGAAGGTAATTTCAGACTTGTGTTTTCTTTTCTAGCCGACATTCAGTTAGCATCTGTGAACAAATGTAACATTCAAATTCAAGCTTTTTTATGGATTGAATTGTTATTTTTTCAACATCAAGTTTTTTGTAACTAGTTTTAATGGAGAATTGCTTCTTTACCCTCGCAGATTAGATGAAATTGCTGATAAATGCAAAAAACATTTTGAAAATATTGTTTGCTTTCCTTTGAATTGTGGTGGTTGTTAGAGTAGTATCTTTAAAATGACTGTTTAAAGAATTCAAGAAACAAGAAGAATTAAAATAGCTATTATGATGTTATGATTTAGAATCCAAGCCCGAACATTGAGATGGTTGATTCTTTTTCTCCCTCTCTTTTGCTAATGTATTTGATAATTATGAGAGATATTCATATACCTGCATTCTTTGGGCATTTCATGTATTGTACTGTCAAGTATAGACATAGTATATTAGTATACATAAAATTTTTAATTTAATTAGGTGCAATATATTCCTGACAAAAAAAGGAGATAGGTGCTATTAAGTTCTCACCATGGCAGTGTTCTGGGAAGGATCAGACTCATTGTGCTATTAAGCTCCCCTGTTTTACTCCTCACACATAAATATAAATAATTTTCTAATTAAATTCTTACTGTGCTTCCATGGTACTCTTTGGGTGTAACAATAGCCTCATTAGTTTTGTTGCAATGTTCTAACCTTTGTGACTAAATATGCATATGTTGCAAAACTATTTGGGGCTTATATTGTCTTATGTTTTACTAGGCACGGCTGGCTTTTTGCAAATTCATGGTAAAACCATCAACTCTCCTTGTTTTGGATGAACCGACCAATCACTTGGATATACCTTCTAAAGAAATGCTTGAGGTTTGTCCAATTTTTTCTTACATTTCTCTGTATTTAATGCTTAGTATCATCCACCAGCTTAATTGATGATTTATTATTCTTCTATCAGGAGGCAATAAACGAGTACGAGGGAACTATTATCACCGTATCTCATGATCGGTATTTTATTAAGCAGATAGTTAATAGAGTGATTGAAGTTAAAGATGGCAATTTACAGGATTATGCTGGAGATTATAATGTAAGTCAATCGTTCCTCCCCCTCTCCCCCGCTTCCTATTCTACTGCCCATTGAATGTGTGTAGACACACACATACATGAGGTCAAAATGATACTAAATACACCTGTGGTGATCAAAATAATAAAATAGGATTTGATTTGAGAGGCGTAAATATATAATATATATACACACACATATGTACATATTTATATTTAGTTATTTATTTACTAAAATTAAGGAGCAAACTGTTGCTATAAAGCTCTAACCGGCGGGAAGGAAGGATCTATTGTGTGTCTATTGTAGATAACCTTGTCTCAAATTTTAGATGTTCAATCTGAATTTCACTGGATATCTGTTCCATTTTCCCTCCAGGCGTACCATAATTTACCATGCTAATGTGAATTTTTTGATCATTATCCAAACCCATTTTTTTATCGAATGATTATATTCTAGGAAAATTATCTTATCCAATTTTGTATATCATGAATACTGCATGATTTTATAGGCTTCTAACAAGTTTGAATCTGACAATTTGCAGTATTATTTGGAGAAGAATCTTGATGCTAGGGAAAGAGAGCTTGAACGCCAGGCAGAGCTCGAGGACAAAGCTCCTAAATTGAAAGCCAAATCTAAGATGTCCAAGGTAAACTTCTGTGAACCCCATTTGAATGAGGTGGTGAATAGTACTACTATTGAATAACTTGTAGGATAGATTATAAAATCCAATTGCTTATTCACTTGCAAAATCAGGCTGAGAAAGAAGCAAGGAAGAAGCAAAAGATGCAGGCTTTTCAGGCAGCAAAACAGAAGTCTAAAGGTGCAAAAAATTCAAAGAGATGGAATTGAGCAATCCATTCCATCACACTATAAGAAGAGCACGATCTCTAGACTTATTCACCATGCGGGGAGGATAGAAGGTGAAGTAGTGTATTGAGTTAGCTACTGCCTTTGTATTGTATATATCATGTCATAGTGGACGAACATTCAATGTAAATTGATTAGAATATAGAAAAGCTTGTTTATGGCATTTGTAATCTGGGTACAAGTTGCAGTCTCAATTACAATTTGGTTTTCAGTTACTTAAAACAAACCGATTCGCTGTACCTGTACACCATGCCATCATGGTACTTTTAGTGATTAAACACTTTAACATCAGCTGTATCTTATGCTATTTGTCTGACTCATGACATGAGTAATAAACAAAAGCAACTGACCCGGATATACATTTGTTTTGTGCATAGTATATATAATCAGAATTTTAAGATATTTTTAACTCAATCTCTTGCGTTAACAACGGCCCAAATGATGACTCAATCTCTTGGGGTCCAAGCTGAAGACGTGTTACCCACATGTCCCTCACCCGAGGACATGTCATCAACGTGTTCCGCACTCTTTGGAGCCGTTACGCCCTTTGTAGTGAACGTGGTCAATCCACTACCAGCGAAGTCCACATAGCACTTGACCCAAGATGATGGGCACATGCTATTCATCCTCACTACCACGTGAGAATCTTGACAGTCATCTATTATGGGCCTGGATACTCAGGCCATAGTGGAGGCCATTGACCCAGCGCCAGGGGCTCTATAAATACTCTCATATGCAGGAGAGTCAGGTATCTTATTCACAACTCTCATACTTACCTTTCACTCCTTCTGAATTTAGCATCAGAGTACATTGCAGGTAACCCCTCCTCCAAGGAGTATTTTGGACTGACGCATAATTAGACCGGCCACACACATCTCTTTCTGATCCCGGTAAGATCAGTGGCGACGTATGTGGGAAAACTTGTTTTCCCATCTTCTTCCACTTGAAACAGAAGATCAAAACAAAAACTAAACCGATCATGGTTGGTCCCAATGACAAGAACAACACTCTAGACACCATTTGTTCCCCTACTCGCAACAACGACAACAACAACGAGATACCTCACTTGGAGAACGTCACACCAAAGAGGGATGGGAACACTGCTTCCCCTTTCTCTGAAGACGCCAAAGAAGATATCACGTTGTACGTCAAAACCAGCAGGGACCAAGAAGCCTGAGAGTCAACTCCAGAGACGTTCCAACCAATTTCGGTGCCCCCAAAAGTCGACCCGACATTGGCGATTCTTTTCACAACGATCAACCAGACAAACTCGTTGATCCACCACCAAAATCAAAGGATCAGAGCGCTGAAAAGGGATCTCCATTCACGTTCTCCCCCACGGAGACACCAACTGTATGAATCCCGAAGTCCGTCCCCGCAACAACCAAGAAGACGCCCACCATTGGAGAGGCAGCAACCCTTGGTGACCAAGAAGCGCGGTCGAACCCCTCCATGCGAGGGCCGGCGCTCCCCGACTACCAAGAAAAGTGGAACGGGGGGATGAACATCGAACCACTAATCACTCCCCCGCAAGACGAAAAGTCGTCCATAGGATTCAACGTCGTGCTGTGACGGTAGCCCCAGACAAGGAAGACGTAGCCGATCTCCACCACTGTCACCGATTTGGAGTGATGGAGACAAGCCCAACAGAGCGTTGTCTCAGGAAATCATGCATGCACCCATCTCCGTCGGACTGGAGAAACCGTTGAACCTGGGGACGTATCACGAAACAGCTGACCCAGATGACCATCTCGAGAACATTGATGCTTTTCTCGACTATCGTTGTATCAGCAACACCGTCAGATGCTGGATATTTCCCACTACTCTGTGAAAGAGTGCCATGACATGGTACAAAAGCCTCACAGAGGAGTCCATCACTTCCTGGAGAGACATGAGGAAGCAATTCTCGAGGAACTTCACTGCCTCCTGACGCCACCCTAAGATCGAAGCGACGCTCAAAGCAATCATCCAAGAAAAAGACGAACCTCTCCGAGCCTACATTGAGAGGTTCAACCGAGAAGCCGTCCAGGTCTCCACGACCGACGATATGAAGAAATACTTTCGGAGATCAGATGTTTGGTTGATTGCCTCTTGTGTTTTTCTCTTTTATCGCTGTCTGTTGTCTTCTTGTTCAGTTGTTTGTACCTCTTTTATCATCAATGAAAATTTTATGTTTCTGATAATAGTAAAATGAGCTAATTGTTTTTCTCACAGATAATTTTTATATTTTATCTTTTTTGATTATGACAAAAAGAAGAGAAAGATAGTGATGATTTTAATATATCTATAATCCCGTTGCTCACATTCTAATAATATATACATGCAAGTCTAGTTTAAGAATGTTGTTTCAGGTACAAGGAATAAGTAAATGGATTTATTGCTTAGAAGGTTCTGATAAAGAAATTCTGAAGTCTCAAGGATTCAAATCAATCAAGATCAGATATATAACTTCTATCGTTTAGAAGGTTCTGACATAACAGATCTATTGAAAGATATTATGATAAAGACAAGCTCTGATAAGCGTCAGAAAAGATCTTTTCATTAAATCAGGCGATACGAAAGATAACAATGCTCATAAAAGCCCTTTCATTTCTAAAGATTGTTAAGTCTTTAATTCAAGGGGAGATTGTTCATCTCAGGGGGAGATTGTTTATCTCAGGGGGAGTTTCTCTAAACTTACTCTGTTACTTTTATTGATATTACCTTGTAAAATTGTTTCGTCAAAATACATAGTTTTGTCATCATCAAAAATGGGGAGATTGTTAGAACAATATTTGATTCTGCATGTAATCTGAGTTTTGATGATAACAATACATATATTTTATATGTAACGATTTTGATATCTAATAGTTCTTTATATGCAGATAAAACATTTAAATTAATTCAAGATTGTTGTCTAAAGAATCATCAAATGTGTTTAGCTCGCATCAAAAAGACTATAGTTTAAGTTCTGAAGAAACATCAATAGTTCTGAAGAATGATGAATGTTCGACAGAAACAGAACCATGTGTACTTATCCAAATAAGTTGCTGCTTCAGAAGACAAGCGTGTTCAGAAAGAATCGACAGTGAAGATTAGATATCAAGCTTTTGCTTCAACGATCAAATATCAAGATAAGTGCTTCTCAGATAAAGCTTTTGCTTCAACGCTTATACATCAAGAACTGTTTGTCAAATAATCTGCTGCTACATATCTGAAGACTAGGTTCTGATTCTGAAGACTCTGATACATTTGGGAACACTACAAGAAATATCTTCTGAAATATTCATCTCTTCATATCATAATCATTCCATCAGAAGATTGAAGAACAAAGACATAATCTCTTCTACACTCTCTTACTACTTTAGAATCAGAAGTATCTCAAAAAGAAGAAAAGATCATAAACTTATGCTAGAAATAAACAAGTACAATAGTACAACACATTTCCCGTTATTTGTGGAAAATACAATGTAAGGAAGAAGTTTGTGTGTGCTCATTGTTTCTCATATTCTTACGCTACCTTTGTAGCAGATGGTTTGATGAAAGTGACTTTTTGATTTATTCCAACGGTCTACTTTCTAAAGTATATTCTAAAGGGAACTATTTTTTATAATATTAGAACAAGAGCTAAGTCTTCAAAGACCAAGTGCTAAAGATTTATGCGAAAAGACTTCTGAAGACTAAGGTTGTGATAAACATAGCTACAACACTTAAGATCTGTAGGTTCTATTCCAAGCTTGATCCTTCTAATACATGCTTCATCAACTTCGATCATAAGTCTATGAAATTGGACAAAATCAACTTAGTTAATCATAAAAAGTGTCAACGGTCAAATCCACAATATCACATCTATCCTGGTTTTACGGTAAAAAGGACAGTACTTTCATACTACTATGTCCACCATTGATACTATTCGTTGGGGATATACTGCTGTAACTACAAAGACTATCTTACCCTCCAACTTCTCTTTTCTCTGAAGACTATTTAAGAAGATCATTGTATTAACAAAATATATACACGAAGATGTGAGAAAAGAAAAGAGAGAAAGAAATAGAAGTCATGAAAGAGGAGTGACAAACAAAAGAACTTCATACTGCAAAACAACAAGAGAAGCTACTATGTAAAGAAAATCAAAGTGAGAAATATTCTTCAAAACACAAAGAGTTGTTGCTCGTTACTTGTGTTAACATTTATTCTCAATCATTATTGTAAACACAAAAGAGCCATCGTTCATATTCTTGTGTAAACACTTACATTTCATTACAATGTTAAATCTGCTTTTATAGAAGCACTCTTGTAAACACTATTTGTTTGTAAAAGTTTTCTCAAATGGCTAGAGTGAATAGTCAGAATACTTGAGAGGGCTAATTGTGTTTCTACCACTTAGAGATTGTTTAAAGTTTCCTCAAGTGGCTAGAGTGAATAGTCATAATACTTAAGAGGGCAGAATGTATTTCTACCACTTAGAGGTTGTTTAAAGTTTTTTCAAGTGGTTTGAGTGAATAGTCAAAATACTTGAGAGGGCTAAGTGTGTTTCTATCACTTAGAAGTTGTTTAAAGTTTCCTCAAGTGGCTAGAGTGAATATTCAGAATATTTGATAGGTCTAAGTGTGTTTCTACCACTTAGAGGTTGTTGTAATCTTTCTAGATTATTGGATTAAGTCCTTTTCTAAGACAAAATCACCTTGACGGGTGGACAAGAATAGCCTTTTCTAAGGTGAACTTGTATAAACCAAACATGTCCTTTATATCTTCATTGCTTTACACATCTCTCATCATTTGAATGAATACTCTTTCTAAAGGGAAATGTTTTGATAAACTCAATTCAAACCCCCTATTTCTTGTGTTTTTTTCTACCTTCATAATTTTCTTCATTCCTTCAAAATGCCAGTAGCCTAGAGGACGCGTCGCAGCTAACTGTCCTTTCAAGTAACCTTCATTAACAAATCCACCAAACGACTCAATCCTCGTCCTTTCTTTTATGCACAACGTCCTGTGATTAT